GACCACGCGAAGCAAGCCGCGAAATGCCTAACCAAGGCACACCCATCACCGTTGCACAACGTTCTACATGCATATAGGCTCAAACCAAGTAAGGTAGAGAAGATATATCCCACATGGGGAGGACCGAAATGGCAAGCAACTCAAGAAATCAGCATAGCCGGGAACAAGGAAGAGGCGGCAAGACAGGACACGCAGGATCAAGCAAGTTTCAAGGCATACTCAGATGGATCAGCAATAAACGGCGAAGTAGGAGCGGCGGCGGTTTTATACAAGAATGGAGTAAAGGTCGCAACGCGAAGGAAGAGGCTAGGAACGATCAAGGAACACACGGTATACGAAGCCGAACTGGCGGGAGCAATGATGGCAGCGCATATGCTCAAGACGCGCAACACTGGACACAACACGGCCATAGGACTCGATAACCAAGCTGCAATTAGAGCGTCAGTACAAGATAAGCCGAAGTCCGGACAGGCGTTCGTAATAGCCCTGAACAAGCAAATTAAGACATGCGAGCCGACAAACGTGACGCTCCGATGGATCCCAGGACACGAAGGACACGAAGGCAATGAGGAAAGCGATAGAGAAGCGAAGAAAGCAGCAAAAGGAGAAGACGAGTCACCAGATCACTTGCTTCCGAAATTCTTACGAGGAGAGATACCCGCAAGCGTATCAGCCATGAAGCAGAACCACAACCAGCAACTTCGAGAGGAAGCTCAGCGCCTCTTCCAGAAATCGGCCAGATACCCTGGATTGAGTGCCATCGACAGCTCGGTCCCATCCCCAAAGTTTCTGAAGCAGACAGCAAAAATGCGCAGGAGAAACATAGCAATACTAGTACAGCTACGAACCGGGCACGCACAGCTCAACAAACATCTGCAGCGCATCAGGAAAGCTCACACAAGCTTATGCCCGTCATGTCGAAGAGAACCAGAAACCGTTCACCACTTTATATTCAGGTGCAAAGCGTACGACAGGCTGCGAAGAACAGTACAGGCAGAACATAGGCACAATGCCAGATCAGCTAAGTACTTGTTATCAAACCCCGACGCATACCCAGCGCTCTTCAGGTACATAAACGGAACAAGAAGATTTATGGGAGTGACAGGGCCGTTGAAAGTCCCGCAGAAGAAAACGAAAAAGACATAAAAATATGAAGCACGTCAGAATCAAAGCGCAATGGAGCGAAATACAGCATGGTGGAAGGAACGGTCGGAAGGGAACAGAGAGGAGAGCAGAAGAGCAAGGGAAGAGGGAAAAGAATGGGTCAGAAAGAAACGTTAGTAGAACAACCATCGATACCCTCACTGGGTAACACCACACCTCGCCTACAAAAGGCACGGATCCTGCTCGAACGAGGCCCTAATAGGCGCGTTCAGATGCATGTGCAGAGTCAGACAAGTAACGGGAAGAAAAGATATAGGAAGAATTAGGATAAATAAGAATGTCTTACATAGGGCAACGCCCCAATAGACAATAATGGATATAAAAAAAAAAAAAAAAAAAAAAAAAGGATCCTTTTTCAGAGGAGGGTAGAGCCGAGGCAACTCGACGCTTCGGAGGCGTCTTATCTACCCGACAGGAGCAAGTTCAGAAGTCAATAATACCAGTAGAAGAATATAACTCACCTCTTTTATTTTTTGGTTTAGTTTTCTCAACTTGTCTGGTCTTCTTTCCCTCAGTCCTCACAGCTTGAGTTTGATGAGAGTGGGTAAACCGACCCTTCGACACTACTGTGGTCTTTTGCCCTTTCTGCAGCGGCTGCTCACTTGTAGATGGCAAGGGTACCTCTTCTATTTCTGCATTCAACATTAGTAAGAAGCAACAAGTATTTATGTTATTTTCATACCATCTTCAGAGTCTACTGTGACCCTCTTGCATGTCCGAATCGAAATGACCTCAATATCAGAGCCACTAGTTACATGACTGGCAGCAGGACTTTCAGGAGTTTCAACCATAAGTAGGTTACAAAAGCGGGAAAAAAAGCTCAAATGCAGGTGATTGTACCGTTCCTAGCTGAATAGTTGCTTAGTACTCGCATTGTAGACTAGTATATATTTAGCCGATCTCAAGCCGGCCTCAAGCCGGTCAAGGTCAGCTACGAAATTTCATAGTACCTCAGCTTCAGCTCGGCTCGCAAGCCGGCTAAAAGCCGTGACCGAGCTGTGGCCGAGCTGACCTTGACCGGCCAAGCCTTAGCTGAATCCAACACTATCCCCAGCCCTCCCATCGTTTGCAGCGAAAGGCATGTTAAGCTTTATAAATACCCTCAAGAGTCGTCCTCCTTGTCTCTACCATAATCAATGGTTTCAATGGTTTCAATGTGGCTTTATTCGAATCAGCTCTGGTTTAAGATTCAACCTGAGGCCCGAGCATCGTATCTACAAATATTGTTTGGTGTTTATGAAACGAATATGCGAGAAATCAGTGCATCTATACTACTTACGGTTGCACCGTTCTTCATAATGGCTGCAATACAATGACCTCTCGTGGGTACATGCTCCATCTTCGGCATTCCATGTTGTCCAATGAGATGTATTCGGAAGCCCTTAATATTGGCTGAACAGTTACATATTGATTCTCGCTCCTGTGCCAGTGTATTATTCCTTAAACGCTCGCGCTCTGGAGCTTCAGTCTAGCATACTTTGAAAAGCTACGCAAAAGGAGTCGAAAGGGAAATTGATAAGGGACAACGGCATAGAATGAGGAAGAATGTAAAATATTAGCCTCTATGTGTACATCTTCAAAAGAAAGCATCGGAAATGCCAAAATGATGACTCTATACCAGAGGTAATACTGAAAAAAGGCTCGATAGGGGGTTAATCTCAGGACCCCACGATTTGCAATCGTGTGCTCTACCACTACGCTATCGGTCCTTCTAGTTTCACTCCTAGAATAGTATTTTGGATGGTAATCAGGAGAGGGAAGTACAGAAATGTAACACCGATGATACTATCCGATGATGTCCAGGATACAACGTAAAGAAGAAAGTTTGGCAACATGACAATCCAAAAATGAGGTCCGAGAAAGTTGTCCTTGTGTTTCGGAAAGAACGGAAAAAACCTTGAAGATATTATTTAAAGTCCACACGCGGAGGTCGCAACCTGCGAAGCAGTAACGTTAACCCTTCCGAGTTGGACCGCCTTGCCTCCTGTAAGTTCATCCAAAGCAGCCTGGGCGATATTGAATCCTTGTGCGGCGAGATCAATGGCAAGAACTATAATAATAACGAACAGCCACGTCAGATATCATCTTGAGGTCCATTGACATGACACTAACCGTTAATAGTCGTATTACCAAAGGTCAATGACCAACACGTCCCACACCCAGGACTGTCAAAGCTTTGAACAACAAACGCACCACCAATATGCGGGAACGAAGGAAGAGCGCCGAATGTGCGTTTGCCTCCGGTGGCGGTGGTTAGCGATTCGGTCCCACTGCAGTCGACGATGTCGAGGCTGTTGGCGCCGTTGTCGTATACGGGGTCGAAGGAGGTGGTGACGACGGTGCTGCTGGGCGCTGGGGCGGCGGTCGTGGTGCCGGTGACGGTGCTGCTGGGCGCTGGGGCGGCGGTCGTGGTGACGGTGACGGTGACGGTGACGGTGACGGTGACGGATGGGGAGCTTGAGGCGGCTCCAGAGCTCGTCGGGGCGGGATCGGATGAGGTCGTGGCCGGTAGGGATGGAGTTACGGTGGCCGGTTGAGATGCAGTCACGGTGCCGATGGTGGTGGCTGGCTGGGATGCAGTCACGGTTGACGCTGGTTGAGATTGGACTATTGTAGTCGTAATGGTCGCAGCTTCAATACCGCCGCTCAAGAGAGCGAGGACGATCGGGAGCTTGAAGGCCTTCATTGCGGATGTGGGTTTGGATGAGAGGATCAGGTGCAATTGAGAGTCTTGCTGGCCCCCATTCCGCCATCCCACTTCGGCTTATATACAGACATAGACGTCCTAGAAGACGCAAGACATCGCGAGCAGGCAGTAACGTGCACGCTCAGCAGATGTGCAGACGCCCGTCAAAGTATGAGCAACGAAGGAAGGATGCACACTCGGTTGATACAGCATGCAGAGTCGACCTATATATAGCCTCTGGGGCTTCTTTTGTATTGGTGTCGACACGACCACATTGGGATCCTTGTGCGTAGGAGGATCACGAGAGTGGCAACGAGAGTTTGCTCCACCTCAGACGTAATATATACTGGGGGTTTCGATTCTTCGGAAGCATCCGCTGGCGCCTCGATGTTACGCCGTTTGGCTATTCTTTTGCAGAGACGAAAGCTGGATCCGCGAAATGAAGATGTATAACGTTATGTCTTCAACTTCTACGTGAAGCCGCCGTTCCGGAGTCTTCTGGGTTCTCGATCATCTTGACGCTTAGTCCTGATTCGCCACCTCTACACTTGGCAAACGTACTAGCCCATGTATGCCTCCCAACCCCTTCTCAAGCACAGACGTCATACGGCTCATTACAGAAATGACGTTCGTTCAAGAGGTGTTGTCGTTGCGATGATGTTTGCGTGAGGAATAACGAACGTCTTGCAAAGCCACCACAGGTATCCATTGAGCTTGCCAGGGTCGTGTATAGTGTAAATGAAAAGGGTTAGCTCGGACCCGTAAGGGAGGAGTCGAGCCTTGAGGTCGTGCCGATACGAAAGAGGGCTGTGGCTCGTAAGGAAGACGAAATCGATCATTGACGTTCCAGGAAGTTTGATGAGGATTCGTTATGCCATGGTGAAACGTGTGCTACGAAGGACCAGTCAAAGTCATGCAAAACCAAAGCCTAGAACGAGGCTGACGTAACTATCCTCCCACCCTAACCGCGACACCTGTAGCACCCGCATGGCTCATGCAACCAGCGGGAGACGTACAGCACACCCTGTAAGGCTTGCGCTACAAATAGTGTTTGCACTCAATGTGTCAGAATACCTCAGCATTAATGTGGAAGTTGAGCTGCACATACCTCCTCACCACACGACTGTACCACGTTCGGGCTTTTCAGTAGTCCCAGAAGCAGTTGTAGAGGTCCATCACAGTATACATTCGAACTTCAGCTGGCATCGGCGAGAAACGAATCATTTATCATGGTCCAAAAGAATCGAGATAAGTGAGGGTCTGAGCCCAAAAGCCAATGGCATGAAATGGCCGGGTGGGTATGGTAGATATATTTCCTCCAAGATATTTGATCCTCAGGGTTCTAAAACATGGACTTTCTGTAGCTTCAATATAAGGGACCATTATTATACGGATTTTGCTCGGACATTGTATGCTCGGCAGCTAAAGGGACTCCCAAGGATTACTATAACTTTGCAGCTTGCTTTAGAAGAAGAAGAACTGTTGCAATTACACCAGGCGATGGCATTTCCAATATTCCACGCCCAATCGCAAGCTAAACGAATAGTGAGAGAGGATATACAAAATAAGATTGCGTGGCTGGAACTTGGTATGTACGTTCCCTCATTCAGGGTGTAGGCTGTAATAATTGATAGCCAAGTAATTTGCTGTAGTTGTTGGCACCGTAACGTACTAGACATTGATATTTTGCACTAATACGTCACCCAATTAGTCCGCAAAATGGCCGGCAGCTGTATCTTTTCGTCAGGCTCACCGGCAATCTATCTGGAGAACTTTAATATTACTGGGCAGACAGTGCAGATGGCCACTCCAAGCTATCCGAAAGAAGGATTGTACAACGGGGGGTTTTGACAGCAACATGTCGCTGGAGCCCAGCTGTCACTCCATTCTAACAGGCCCTCTTTCCTCTCCTTCGTGACCTTTTTCTGGCTTGTGGTTTGAACCCCGACTTAGACGAGAGATCTACCTTCTGGGGTCTTCGTTGCATCGAATGGCACACGGTGTAAGAGCAGGAGGCGACGCAGCGTGACGACGAGGCCAAAGGCAGGAAACCAACATAATTATCTAAATATCCTAATGGGCCGTGGCAGTGCCCGGCATATACCGTTCCGTGGAATTATCCAAAATGCACATTAGCTTCAAAAGGACAGTTTAACTATCAGCTGTGCCTTCTTTGGAAACCGCAAATGGGCGCTTAAATTCGTGTCAATTGGCATGAATTTAAGTGCCCAAAGTCAACTCTAGAATATGTCTGATCATGGGTAAAAAAAAAAGCTCCAAATTTGCACAGAATGGAAAGTGCACCTTTGGTTTGCAACCACAGAGGATTGAAATATTGAGGTTGTGGTCATGGTTGTAAGTGGTGATGAGCAATGCCTAGTGTTTTCAAACTCCAATGCCCACTTTCCCATAGGTCAAATTGGAGTCTGTGTATGGCCACGCTCTTTGCACTTGTTCCCAGACACATATTATCTAACTGTATTGTAGATTCCATTATATATATATATATATATATATCTGTGCTTAGGAGTTTACCGAATTTTTATGACTAAAACAATTCATGAGATAGCTACTATAAGTAGCTACTGAGCTACATTTTTTTAATTTACAAACTGCAAAGCATACACCGACCTGTCACACTTCTGCTGGGAAAGACAGAATTTTTTTAAATGAGTTGCAGCTGTGTCAAGTGGTGTCACTCTCAAAGCCTGTATTACACCTCCGGATACACATTATCTAAGCAGGTGCCCATCTCAGAAAGGGCTCCAAGCTAGGGCTCCACACCGTAGACATATAGACCTTTTCTACAGCACCTGTAATCGTTCCGACAGAGCATTTCGCAGAATTGGCCATAAGACGGTACGGTGCTGAACGGTGCCATATTAAACCGTATGAAATACGGCCGTAGAAACGGTCTATACAGTTTTCTCGGCTAATAATCTCCTGACCAATAGGAAAGGGCCATTTGCAATCAAAGTTCGGAAGCACTCGGCTAGCTTCAGTCTCTCATCCCCTTGGAGGACAGGTATGTTGTTATTCATTAATGGTGGCACCAAGTCCTCTGATAAACAATCTTAGAAGAACTTACCTGTATTCCAGAAGCTTTTTACCTTGTTAGGTGTGGATATGCTGAGTGGAAGTGTTGTGGGACTGCTAGGTAATGACTAGGGAGCTTACGTCCGATATTATTAAGCTTCTTCTGAAGTCAGAATCCCTTGAGATTTAACATTCCTATCTATATTGACTTAATAAATAATCATATAGACCTATATTTACCTGCCCATTATCTCCCTCCATCGTGCAAGTCTGAGCGCAGACACTCTCAAACTACAGATCTCCAATCAAGTAATAGTGACCTTCTCCTCATATCATGTTCAGTACCTCCTTTCACAATTATTAGATGCCCTGGCCAGCGAAGAAATGCTATTATTCGACATTTAGGCTTACCATACACCGTAATGCGCTGTTTACGGCCATATATTGTCAGTATCAATTCCGATGAGTGAGTTGCCGGACCAGTATATGGAACAGTTACAGTACTGATTGTGCCGTAAACGGCCATACACTTTATGGCCGTAACTGTTTACGGTACGGTGCGGAGCCCTACTCCAAGCCATGTACAGAATGACACACAGTCTCTATTGCTCTAATTTATTTATATTGAAAATCTATTTACACTCTATATTGCTACTCCAAATGTGTAGAGGAAATGAACATGTGAGGCACTGCCTACAGTGAGAAAGTCCAGTTGACCATGACACTATAGGAGATCCACTTATATAAGCCAGACTCAGAGTTGGGCGGCATTGCCTGTCACCATTATAAGGTAAGGAAGGTGACACACATCATCAATGCCAAGTGATGCCAGGATCCACAGGAGCGGCTGAATTAGGAAAAGTAAAGATATAGTAAATGAAAGGATTACCCTAAATTACTATAAATATTTAAGTATATTCTTTTATATGATATCTATCTTCCATGGAATATCAATAGTGATTGGGGGTGTGAGGAAGGACACTAGAG